TGTTGCAATAAAACTCAGCTGATCATCTCACGGAGTACCTTCATTCTTGGACCACGTATTTCTGTCTTTGCTAAATAAATATTACCATAACAATTGGCGTTGTTGGCAGGATCAAGTCATCAAGTCAAATGAAATCAACATAAAAACTAAATTATTGTGGAAATTATCAGCTGTTTAGATGAGATAAATGTTGCTGTTAGACGGCAGGTCTCAGCTTTTTTTATTTAATCAGGTTTTAGCTCAAACCTGGTGAAAGATTTTCTTTGTGTTCTATAATTTGTGTTGTCATCTTGCTTTCTGTATTTAAACAAACGTTCAGTCTGGATGGAGACTTTCTATGTAATCGAGATGAAACTAAAGCGACAGCAGAGGAACAAACCCCCTCCAGGAGCTGGTTTTAAACTCTGTTCAGGTGTGAATGCAGGCAGCAGGAACTGGACCGAGTCCACCTGTCGGACATTTGATCCACGCTGCAGGACTCTCCTGACCTTTTTCTGCCCTCGGCTCCAACACTTGTGACCTTTTTTGATTATTAAAGTGCATCAGAAACCTGATCCAGGGTCTGACAGAGTCCTGCAGTTCAGCTCCATTCAGAGGATTTCTGATGATCTGAAAAACTTTATTAGTATGTTTTTTACGTAAAGTTAAATGAGACCAAAACACTTAGTCTAAAAGGTGTCTTTATGTCAAACCATTAGAAGTAAAAACTTCTATTTTGTGTTTTTAAACAGAAACTTATCAGCATAGCTTTTATAGTTTTGTTAATTTAAAAGAAAAGAAGCAACAAATGCTCCAGGAAATCCTTTTTTTATTCAACGGTGCTTTAAATCCTCACATTTGGTCATTAAGAAGACAAAACATAAACTTTAAATTTCATTTAGTTCATAAAGGTGCAGTTTTATTTTACATTAGCTTTTACAAATCGACAGAAAATTAAAGTATAAAGCCTAAAAAAGAATTAGGATGTGAACTCGTTACTGTGTTTTAATAAAGTTTATTTAATGCAGGACGTTATTAAACGTTATTTGTCACTTTTTTATTTGTACAACTTATTTAAAAGAGGAGAAAAAAACAAAGATTTTAAAACTTCAGGATAAAAAACCTTCAGTTTGTCGTCCTCTGGTTTGTTCTGTGGCAGCAGATAAAATAACCTTTGTGTTGCAACAGCAGGCAGGTAAATATGGACTGTGGACATTTAGCCTGAAAAAGACAAAAACCACTCTGTTTTCATTTCAGACTTCTTTTGTAAGAGTTTTTAAATAAAACTGTTGCATTTAGAAGCTTCTTAATATAAGTATTTACAAAATAAAACACTCTTGTCGTCCTGAATTAGTTATATTTTTGTGTCTTGTTTTGCTGTTGTGCTGCAGACCAAGGCCAGCCAGGACCAGATCGACTCCTTCAGGGCGTCTCTGTCCAAACTGGGAGACGTTTACGTCAACGACGCCTTCGGGACGGCTCACAGAGCTCACAGGTGAGCTGGACTCCTGAGTGGCTTCGGACCACGATGGGACCTTTTTATTGGCTGCTGCTTCTCAAAACAACAACCTGTTCTCCCAACATGTTGTTTTTGTTGATTATAAGTTAAAAATAAATACTTGTTGGTCCGTCCATCAGGTTCTCCTGGTGGGAAAGAGGTGAAACACACAGACTTAAATATAAATATGACTAGACTGAGCCCCGCCCATCCTGTCCACAGGTAGTGTCTGTGACATCATGGA